AACCTCACCCTTTCTTCCTCAGAAACAACAGGATCCAGCTGTTCCTGGTTTCAGTGAAAGATGTATATGTTACTGTTTTTAACTGCATATACAGGTTTAAAAGATATAACTGTTGCAACTGAGGCAAACTTCAGACAGCTTAAATCAAACAAGTATCAAGTCTTAAGATAAATATGTTCCTTTGGGTTACAGTCTGTGAATAAAGTTAATTTATCTTAACATTGGTTGGACAATTTAGTTCAGACAGACTTAGATTATTACCTATGAAAGATAGCTCATTCCTATTAGAAAAAAAAATCTATGCTGATTTTTCTCTCTTTTTCTAGGAAAAGGATAGTGTCAATCAGTGCTCAATTTGCCAGCCAAGCTGTGCAAAACATCAATGCATCTCAGCCCACTAGAACCAAAATATCATGTGACCGAGCCTATGCACATACTCTACTCTCATAATCTACTACTGCCTCCAACAGTCTAACTATGCAGATCCATTGCATCTCATCACCTGGACATTTCTCTTGCCATTCTAAAATACCCTAAAATTTCCAGCCTAGATGCCAACTGATCCTATAGAACCCAATGTAAAAAATACTGCTACATAAAAAGTATTTGCTTTTAGGGGGAAGAAAGCAAGAAAAAGTGATGAAGTAACGTTGATTTTGCAGATATTTTAGTTTTAATCCAAAAATACATTTTAAAATTAATTTCTAGACCCATCATCAAGACAGCTTAGATGCATCCAAAGCTCAGTAAAATGAACAAAAAAATGTGTGTATGAATACTGGATAGACCCAACACATAATATTCTTCATTCTACATCTTGATTAAATATGTCTCTTTAAAAAAAAAATCTAAATGGATAAAGAAGGCTTCTATTCCTTGTCCCAAAACCATCAGTATACGAGTACAATCATGAACTAATTGTAAACTGTACAGTAATATTCTTGTCACTTTCTTTGCTGTAATACAGTATAGGATTTCACAGAAATTGGTATAACTAGGAGTGAACAAATCAGTCAATTGCATAGTGGTCAAATACACTACCACAAGTACCAACTGCAGTCCCACTTATTTATAAGAAACAGATTTCCAGGTAAAAGAGTAACCATTCCAGATTTTTTCCAGCACCATGGTCTCCAGGATGTTATGACATGGTGTCCAAATACCAAGAGACCCTGGCCAACCGTTATGTTTGTTCCCCAGAGTCATATACTAGTCTGTGTAACTTGCACCGCCTTGCTCTCATATGTGCTAGGACAAACAGTAAGAGAGAAGAAACTCTTATAATGTTTTTCCTTGTATATAAATCCCCCCCCCCAAAAAAGCAAAAACAAAAAACAAAACACGTTTTCCTGGCAGTCAGCACACATATCAAGTTGCTAGGACCAGTCAGTTCCTCTCAACTGTAGCATTACTGATATAATTGCCACCTATGAGTTGTTGGGGACACAAAACCTTTGGAACCTATAAAAGTAGAAGAGATATCAGGTAAAGGGCAGGCAACTCCCAAGAAAACTTATGAATGGAAACATATGTTACATTAAATTCTATTACTTCAACTCCTTGTAGTACTTAACAAACATCCTAAAAACCTTTCAGGGTATGAAAACAATTCCACGGTCTTTTTTGACTTACTGTAGTCAAGGTATCTTAGAAAACAAAATTCTATACCACACTCAGATCAAGTTCCTATTTTTATCTCAGACAGGACAAAACATGCACTGTCTACCTATACAGCAATGTGATCCTTTCCCAAAACAAAGTTTTCATTTATTATTTGGCAGAGACCTATTTTTTCTTTCACAATTGTAGTCAAAATGTATTTAAAATGTCCTGGACCATAAGCATTGACATGAATGTTGCAGGTCAAGTGAGAAACAATTTTGGGCTTAAAAATTTAAAAAAACCTAAACCCAAACACAAAGTTTTTAATCTTTAATATTAGTGTATAAATTATAAGAGAATCAGCTTCAAGACAGATATTTTTTTCCTTGATTAGTGGAAAGCCACAGATACACCAATTAAATCCTAGCATTTTGTTTATTCTTAATTCCTAAAGACACTTTCTAGGTTTTCAGTTCCTATATTTCTTGAATAATTTTTTCACTTTTTATTATAAAATAGCTACGAGACTCCAAAATTCACAACTGTCTATGCAGTCAGGGAAAAAACACTGAAGTCTTCTTAGCCTGAGAATTTTTAAAGGGTCATAAGAAGCTAATATAATCTAAAGTAGTGATCAAAATAGTTAATTTCATTCTCTACTCTGGGATATTTAGATTATTTCAAGTAATTTTTTCCACAATCTCATTAAAAAATAAATAAATGGCCTTTTCTTTCCCCCCCCCACCCAAACTCAGAGGAAAACAGTATCACCAAATGCACTCAACTAGCCCCAGAGTCACACGTGCTCTATTGCAGATCTTGCTTTCAATGTCTCTTTTGTTTGATGGCTGGTGTTTCAACATCCTCGACTTGAACAGAAAAAGGTCAGCGCAAGTCTTCTGGTATTCATAAACCTGAATCAGGCCCCGCCAAGAGAAGATTGATGCCATAGTAAATTTCCCCTCAATCAAAAGAAGGGGGAGCAAGTTTGAAGCAGAGACCAACTCTCTCTGTCTGTTAGAGTAATCCTACTGCCGGTAGCGCCTTCAAGCATACAGTTTTGCTGCACTCTTTTATCAAACTTTTCTTCTGCTGCCTGGATATTGATTTTGGGTTAGAACTTCTCCCACAGTGCAAAGTTATTACACAAGTGTTCCAACTTGAATAGCCTTTCATCAGCAAGAGTCTTGCCTAGCCTAGTCCTGGGGTTTTGTTTGTTTTTTTTTTACCTTTCAATTACCCTTACGTTCCTACCCTATACCAGCCCCCATTCCCTTCCTGCCTAGAGGAGGAGACTGCATCATTAACCTTCCAATTTACAAGGCCAAGTTCCATATTGCAGCTATAGAGAAGTTGTTGCTACGAATTCCTTAAAAGCTCTGGCACTTCAAGGCAGTTGAAACTACTCAGCCAGAGCTCAGAGGCAAAGCCTTGCCAGAGCATTAATGGGCTTTTGCCCTTTTAAATTTGATAAGCCTGTCGCCTTTCTGATGCACCCAGTTCTATTCAGGGTTCTAAATGGCCATTTCATATTTAAAAGAAAGCTTGCATAGGTAGCACCCTAAAACTTGCCCAGGTCATTCATCTCCCCCCAGCTCTCTTACTGTCTCTTAGGAAACCTTTGATAGAGCATTTGTTCAGGCTGCCAAGTTAAATCCTCCTCTCTCATGTCAATGCATTGAAAAAAGCAGTCAGAACACCAGCTTCACTCAGGCCTGCTGAAGTAAATGGAGAAAACCAATTCCTTTGGCACTACAGAGCTATTAAGCTCTTTGCAGATTATTAACTGAAGCACAAAAATACACACTGTGCACAACCAGACAGTAAGGCAGGGCTCTTCCTTAAGTTAGCTTCAGTCCCAGTAAATTGCCTCTATGGCTGCAGTTTCTAATTCTCAGGGCAGCTGCCTGGACTGGTTAGTGGGACCCCCCACAATCAGAGACAAAAGCAATTTCCTAGCTATGTTTTTGTTATGTTTTCACTATTATGCCCATTTCAGCTTTATTAAACATTTTAATCATGGTTGTGGCAGCAGAGAGGACTGAAGATCTAGCCTTGTGTTTCTAACCAGCCTCAAAAGGCAGCACTGAAATTCAACTTTACACGTGTAAACCAAAGTTTGCAGCCTGGAAAATGGTTCTAGTTAGAACTTTTCGACTTCTCCCAACCTCTGCTTTCCCCCAGATCACAAAGCCAGCCTAAAACGTCCCCCCAAATCATTAGAGGAGGAATAAAGCAGGACCAGATCGCTCCTATTTTGATGTTTACATTCCTTAAGTGTCTTTTAACTGACTGCCATTCTCTCTTTTGCAGCAGCTAGCTCAGCCAGTCTCCCGTGAAAATGATTCCCTCCTTTTTCCTTTCACAATGGCAAGAAAGCAGGAGCTGGGCTCTTTCAGTCGGCCCCTCTTTCTCTCGCCTCCCCCCTGCCCCCCCGCTTTGGCTTCCTGGACAGATGTACACAGGAGGGAGAGGGAGGGAGGGAGAGAGAGACTGCTCCTTCCTCCTGCCTTGTGAGAGAGGCCCCAGTCCCAACTGGCTTTCAAAACCCAGACACAAGGAATTTACACTCAGGCAAGCTTCCCAAAGCCCGGAAAACGTGCCCAATCTCTCCCCATGCTTCTCCCCCTCCTCCGAAAAAGGCTTTAGGTATTACAGCCCTCCTGGATCACCCCCTCCCCAAAGATTCCTGAGTCCCCGGAGCGACTGAGCAGAAGCCCCTGTCGGTGCACAGCAAGAGCCGCCTTGAAAGAAGGCAGGAAAGGTAAACTGGGCAGAGAAACAGAAGCTCTCCGGATTATTTTTAAACCTCCTTTGTTTTTATGGCAAAGGCTCTGGCTCTCTCCCTCATGAGTGCCTGAGTCGCAACATTGTTTCAGCTTTTAAAACTTAGATGTACAGTACAGCAGACAGCCCCCTTGAAGCTGGAAATTTCAGGTCCCCCCTTCACTCGCATACACACCCCCACCTCTCTGTCCCCGGCACTGCCCCCCCACATCTTCCCCCACCTCAAAGGCAAACAAAAAGTGATCTGAGCCCCCACCACCTATAATATAAAACATGCCGAGTCCTTTCATCCCTGTCCTCTACAATGACCAAAAAAGCAAAGAATTTCCTAAGCAAAGCTGCCCCCTGTCCCCCTCGATCTCATGTTTTCTTTATTTGTTTCACTCCCCCCCCCAACCTTTCCCCTCTCTTTTCCCAGGCACACAGATACAACCTGTCTCTTTAAGAAGTCTTCACACATTTTCTTGTCTTGCAAAAAAAAAAATTGTATATACATATATATATTTCCTTAGCTTGGTTACTCCATTGTTTCTCCTCATTCAGCACACAGCCCCTGCCCGGTCACACACAGGGAGGTGTGAACAGAAGACTGAAATAGACGTGAAACTTACCTACAGATTGCAAAGCAGGCTTGCAGCAGGGAAAATAATAAGGAAGAAGGCAGGCAAAATCCTCTTTCCTCAACTGATTTGCAGCACTGTTCGGGTGGCTTTTAATTTTTTTTTTTTTAATTTAAAAGCTTCCCA